GGACTGTTGTCAGCTGCTTTGGAGCCACCCACTGTTCCCTGTGACGTGACTCCTCCCATAAGCCCTCTTATGCTTGGCTTAGCCCCACTAGGAAGAGCCCAGTCTGATTAAAGTCAGCATGTTAAAGTCACCTGATTTGGGATCATAACTATGCAAAATTCCTTCATGGCAGTGCCTAAATTTATGTTTCTGACTGGACGTCAGTTGTCCCCCAAAGAGAAGGACATCTTCAGAGCCATCTTAGAATTCTGTCTACTACAAGCCCCAACATGGTTCTCTTCCAGCAAGTATTGTGATCTTTTATTTTTTAACAAACACTGTTGAGCCCGTCTTGAGGTGTATGTGGAGCCTTTTGAACTTCAGTGAAATGGTGGCAATAGCTGTCATTTGTGAGGACCAGATACTATGCTGAATTTCACATGCCTGACCTCCTCTAGCCATCACCACAACTCATGCAGAAGATACCATCTGTATCCTGAGCTACACAGGAGAAAACTGAGACTGGACATGGCTGAGTGACACAGTCCAGTTGGGGAAATGGCAGAGCAGGGATCAAACCCACATCCCTTTTCTTTCAGAGCTCTCTCTCCTAACCCAATTCCATTGGTTGTTATCTTTCTGTATTGTGTTTTTTTAAAAGGTTACGAAATGTCCTCCAACACTACAATGACAACGATCCATCTATGTCTTCTTTAGTCTAAAATTTCCTCTGAATAACAGAAAATGTCACGTAGACTAAGTCCTCCCTAAAAGTGAAGGGCACACCTAAAAGTCAAATACCAAATATACAAATAGATGCTAGAAGTTTATAGCCTGACTTGTAGGGCTGGCTCAGGGCCTTAGCATCAGCATCGTAATGTGCCTTGTTCTTTTGATTCTGTGATGTATTTTTCCGTCTGATTTTGTGCCAAGCATTGATTAATAAGCTTCATCAAAAAGGAAACTCACCAATTCAGCTCTGGAAAGCAGCTTCAGGTCTTCTTTCCAAAGCGGCTAACCTGTATCAGCAGGAACCAGAATAGCAACGGCGCACATCCCCCGAGTTGACAGGCCACTCATGCCGTGACATCCTCAAAGCATCACAAATAGAGGACTGACCTGTGTGACTGGCTGGAGGAAGAAAACAAATGGTTGGAGTGGGGGAAATGACATTGGCGTACCCTCTTTTAAATGCATCTCACTGTTTGATGTAAAAAAAGGACGAAAATGACATTGATTTGTGTCTTTTAAAATTTTGTTCTTTTTAGGTATACACGACAGTCGAGTGTATTTTGACATACTACTCATGTGTGGAGTATAACTTATCCTAATTAAGATCCCATTCTTGTGGTTGTACATGATGTGGAGTTTCACATGAACATAGGAGAGTTATGTCTTAATTGTAAGCTGAATCTTAAAAATGAGCAAAATGTAGAACACTCTAAGGCCACAAATTTGGGGAGAAAGCCCAACGGATTGAGCTCTTTTTGCCTAGAATATTCTTATTTGTTCTCCTAGCTATCCTTCCATTTGTCCTAACAACAGATGGCCCAGGACAAAAGGACAAGATTTGAAACACCAAGTTATTCTCCCACTTGAGTCCTTTGCTTTTCAAAAGCTGATATTTAGGAAAGTTGGAGTTGGGAGAATGCCCGAGTTTGTAGTGGTGGACTGAATCAACAAGGTAGTTTTAGCAGAGAGCAGCTAGCAGCTAACCATGCCCATTTCCCTTTGCTCTGGACCCAGAGTTAGACTACATTTCCCAGCCTCCTTTGAGGTTAGGTGTGGCTACATGACTGAGTTCTGGCCAGTGAAAATGGACACAAGTGATATGCTCCACTTCAAGGTTTGGTACTTAAAATCCTAGCACATCACCCTCCTTTCTCCTTCTCCACCTGTTGGCCAGCAATGAACCACTATCCAGAGTATCCTGGAAAGCCATAGAATCTTTTCAGCTGAGGTCCTTGAGTGACTGACTGACTGGAACAGAGGCCCATCCTCACCCACCAATTGGAATTCATTTTAATGGGCCTTGTTCTTTGGATTCTGTGATATATTTTACTGTCTGATTTTGTGCCAAGCTTGATTAATAAATTATATCAAGAAGGAAATTCACCCACTCAGCCCTGGAAAGCAGCTTCAGGTCTTCTTTCCACAGAAGCTATAAGAAATAAGCTTCCATTATATTAAGCCATTGAGTATCAGAGGTCTTTCTGTTATAGCAGCTATCATTACCTTATCTAAAATAGCTGCTTGGAATATAAAAACTGCAAGTAAGACAGACAAGTAATTCTAAAAAAGGAGAAGGGCTGATTACTCGGGCATGAAAAATCTATTTCCCTGTATTGCTTTGATTGTGTAGGTCAGACTGAAAATGTTATAAGTCAAGGACTCCTATCTACTGCAATAAAAACTTTAGATGAAGTGAAGCTAACTTGATCCATTCAAAAATATCTATAGAAGATTGAATTTGCATTTATAGCTCTTTTAGAACTCATTTTAGTGCTTTCACTTTGAGAGTGTTAAAAAATTGCAGGGAATAAATTAAGAAAATACATTAGAAATTATTTCTTTGAAACTAAATATGAATAGAATATTTTAGCATTAATTCTTGTAGTTTCTCCTGCCAATAATAATTGACCTATACACCTGAAAATCAAACTTATAAGGATTATTATCTTTTACTAATATATTAACAAACAGTTATAAACAAGGACATTTTAATGTTCTGGTAAGACAAGATTTACTTACTTCTTAATATTTTAATATTCTGCTAGAGCTAAGTTTGAGTAGGAAAGTTACAGGAGAAATTTGAAAAACACATTAAGTCATGCAAGAATTAGCATATTTTCCACAACTGCCCTTCAAACATGGACAATTATCATACAAGTATGTCCATCCAAATCCTAGTTTATTTAGTGTAGTATTTGATGTTTAATTGTTTCCTTCTATTTTTATATCCCAAAAGATTCAAAGATCATGAGTAATAATAGACTCTTGACTTAAAGTTAAATCTATAATTTCCATTATTACTGAAGTTAAAATAAAATTTCCTCTCATCATTCATCTACATCCTCATTATATACAATTTATAATCTTGAAAATATTCTTCTTTGCTTTACTTAATTCACTTAAATTTTAAAATGCAATTTACTTACTTCCCATGTAGACTTTCAAACCAGGAGGAAATTTAACTAGCATTCTGGCCTAATACAATTTATCCTCCTTTGCAAATTGGAAAATTGGTATTTTGATTTAAGTATTAGATTGTCCTCGAATAAGTACCTGTGAGCCAGTTCCTAAGAGAATGATCCTTGATTGGGCCTCCCTGACCAGATTCAGTTTCTGAATCTGCACTTAAGCCAGACCTGGATTTTGATAATGTTCCTGAAAGTCACCCTGTGAGATTCTGCCTGCCTGCAGTCTCTTAATACTTAACTGCAATATGCAATGTACGTTTGCATCAGGTACAGAGATCACTATGCAGCTCTATACCAACTCCAACCCAAGCCTATCAGGAAGTTTCTGATTTACAGCCTCCGATGCACCTGAGCCCCATCCAGTTACATGTCGTCTCGTGTTTCTCCTTTCGTTCTTTTCAGTAGACATACACCATGGGAATTAAATGGAAGAAAGATGTTTTTAGCCTGGGATGTCCTCCACAGTCCAGCTTGGAAGTAAATTTTACATTTGGTTTTAAATATGCCATTTTCCTCCATATGCTTTATTTTGAAGAGCTTCTTCTGAGTCACTATGCTTGGAAAAGTAAGGGAAGCCAAGGAGGATATACCAGGGAACCATTGAGCTCTTCTCCAGTGAACTGGAGAGTTTGGCTTTTCCCCTGAGTCATTATCCTGGAAGTTTTTAGATGATCTCCACAGCTCCTCTTTTTTAGATTTTTTCCTGATACAAATTGGTAATCACTAAATATTTTCTGTGACGATCAGTCCACACATTACTTCTGAGTGGTGTGTTCCCCCAAATAAACAGAACTGTCAGAACTGATTTAGAGGAAATAGCAATCAAAACAGGGAAAGGATGTTTCTTATTAATTTTGAGAAAATTGTTTAAATATACAATTAGAGTAGAGTAAATTAGAGTTTTTAATCAATAGCATAATGTAATTAGGAACACACCACTTGGTAATTAAGTCTAATTTCACATTTGGTGGAAAATGAAAATGTGTGTGATATATTTGTCTCAATCCAAGGGTTCCAGCATCCTCTGCTCTGAAAAGCACTGTCACCCCAGCTCCTTCTGACTTGTATTTTTATTGTCTAGGTGTTGGTCTCCCCGAATGCCATCACTGTCAGCTCCTTAGGGAAAGATAATATGCTTTGGGCATTTTTGTGTTGTGGGAAATACAAAAATGGACCACAGGGTCATTGAATATATATTTGTTATATTTACTTGAAAAGTTCTAAAAACAATTTGCTCATCAAATTTGCAGAAACCTAGAGGGACTAGGAAGAGCAGCTAGAATGGTGAATATCATAATCATGATTGTTAAAATCTCCCAAGGGGATAAAAACCTTAGAAGAAGAAATATAAAATACCAAGACCTGAACCCTAAAATGCAGAAACCAAAATTTAGAACGTAATGTGTGTGTTTAACGGCATATTATATACAGCTGAAAAAGGAATTAGTAAACTGGAAAATAGATCAGAAGAAACCATCCAAGATGAAGCACAGAGAGCAAAATGCAGATAGGAGGATAGGAGAGTATGTAACAGGAAGTCACATACGTGTATAAATGGAGTCCTCAGAATTGAAGGAAGAGAATGAGTCAGAAGCAATATTTAAACAGACAATGGTTGAGATAATATTTCAGAAATAAAAGATATCAAACCAAAGACTCTGGAAAGATAGCAAATTCCAAGCAGAATATTAAAATATATTCAGACCTGGATATATTACAGTGAACCTCCACTATAAGCATTCAAAGACAAGGAAAACGTCGTCAAAACAATCTAAGAGATCACCATCAATGAAGCAGAAATTATGTTTTAAACTTGAATAAACTGCTTCTTTTTGAGAGGATGCTGTTGTGGGTGCAGCGGAGCACTGTCCTGCCCGATTCTGCTCCTGACTCACCAATCTTCTCTCTTGCCGAGAAACAAGTCAGTCAGGAAGCCATGCCAACCAAGACTTTGAGAATCACCACAAGAAAAACACCTTGTGGTGAAGGTTCCAAGACATGGGATCTTTTCCAGATGAGAATCCACAATCGACTGGTTGACTTGCATAGCCCTTCTGAGATCATTAAGCAGATTACTTCCTGTAGTATTGAGCCAGGAGTGGAGGTTGAAGTCACCATTGCAGATGTCTAAGACCACTGTTTTAATAAATTGATTTTCAGTTGTTAAAAAAAAAATGCTTATGGCATGAGTCATTTTTTTTTTCTGATTTGATACTGTACCCTTACTTTGGAGCCTTATTTATGATGTAGAAGGTTTTCTTCCAAAGAGGTAGATTCAATTTACCGTATATAGGTCCAAAGAAGTGCACTAAAACCCAGTGTGTAAAAGGTCCAAAGAAGCACATCTCTGCCACAGTCTCGCTAGGCACAAAATAACCGAGCCACCACCAAGCCTTGTAGATTCAAATAGCAACTCTTTATTCCCGAACTCTCACCGACACTCTTCCCACACTTCCCATGAACACACTGCCTCTACCGGCTCCGAACACCAGTTCTCTCAGAACCCGGAGAGAACTCAACGGGAACTCCAAAGAGGGGGTGCCTGAGGCAGCAGGATACGCCCTAATCCTGGAGCCGCCCTATTCCCAGTAGGATCTACCCTAAACCGGAGCCATCCTAATCCCTGAGCAGGGTCACCTTTCAACCCAAAAATGCCATGCTGTCATTCCTACTTGGCTATGGCTCTCAGCACCTCCCCCCTTCTGTTTAATTAAACAACAAGCAATGTGGATTAGGGACCGTGCTGGTTAGGTTGTCCAATTCAACATATGGTCCTTACCTGTCATCGGATGAACTGACTTCTAGGCGTCAGCCTCCTGTCTTAGTTGGTACCACTGCAATTGGATCATACCCGTCACTGACTACCGGTCCAGCACATCTCTACATCATATAAAAAAGATATGTCTAATAATTTGAGTTGTTAGACAAATTAAGAAAGAAGTACGTTATCTGTCATCAAAGCTAATGTATTATTCCTTTGTCAAATATTTATTAAATACCTACTATATACTTGGCATAGCTATAGATTCTGGGGACATATCTGTGAGTAAGCAAATGCAAACAAAAGTCCAAGTTCTTTCTATGTTTGGATTATATTGTAGTGCAAGGAGACAGACAATGCCCATGGTAACTAATTCATGTTAGAAGATGGTAAGTAAAAAGGAGAAAAACAGAGCGAGGTAAAAGTGGCCAGATTTTCTGAGGGTGGGTGTACACTTTGAAAGGTGATGGTCAGAGTCAGCGTTATTGAGAGGAATTGTTTTAACAAAGAGGAGTGAGGTTGGAAGATTTAAGCAGTTAAAGGAAATGAGTTGGTAGAAGTCACTTCCAACTGTACAATTCAGTCACACCATATATTTCAAATTCTTTGGGATTTTAGTCATTGACATTCTATTAATTATTATGAAGTAGAAGAAATCAAAGTAACTTCCTATATCCTGCTTATTAATAAAAGCTGTCCATCTTCACTATAATACTAGAAGCTTTGCATTTGAAAACATTTCTTTTAAAATTCTAAATTCCATAAAAATTTCTGTTACCATCCCAGAATTTGGAGATTAGAGCAGATAATTAGTCTAAGCTTGTTAGTGAACTGGGTTGTCATCATGGGAAAGAGATGTAAAGAATCTTCACAGAGCATTCAAAAGTAGAATCGGAGGTTTACTCCTCAGAATCAGATTGCTTTTTGAAAAAAGAAAAGCCAACAAACATACAGCTGCTTTGATTCCAAAAAAAAAAAAAATGATGTTTGTCTCTGATGTTGAATTCTGTGGTACCAGCCATTTGAAGTACAGAGGGCTTTGACATGTGCAGAATGAAAAGCCAAGAATATCTTCCCTGTTAACTTGTAGTCTTGTGTTGCAGGCACACGAAAAGTCCCTTTGGACCATTGAACCCAATGAAGGCACAGTTCCTGCAGAAGGAGATTTTCCACTGACATTGACTGCCAACCTGAATGACATTCTGACGTTCAAAGACACAGTCATTTTGGAAGTTGAAAATAGCAACACGTTTCGGATTCCTGTCCAGGCTTCAGGAATTGGTTCTACCATTGTTTCAGATAAGCCCTTTGCTCCAGAACTCGACCTGGGAGCGCATTTTAGGTAGGGAGATATCATGGACCGGTTTTTATGGATATCACATATGTTACGGAAGCTGGACATCACCCCTACTTTAGAAAACTGGCAAATAGAACTGACCTCTTCAGTCCCTCTTGTGTACCATCCTCACTTTCCCCCATCCACAAGAAGGTGTTTCCTAGTCATAGGTTGGTTACACTCTCTAAGCTATGTCACTCTACCCCAGAGAAGGGGATCATTTGGAGGAAGTGCACTTTCTCTCAAACTTACAAGGAACTTCTCTGTGACGAATTGGACTCTCAACCATGATTTCTCCTCTTTGATTCCAATATATCACTAATTCTTCTCCATACAGATGCATTAGTGGTAACCTAAACAGAGTATATCTAGGAAGTAAAAAAAAAAGTTATTACAAATATATTGTATCAGGTCTTACAAATCTAGTAGCTTTTTTGGTATTATTTCTACTTGCCTCCCCACTATAGTGCCAACAATTGAGATGGCTACAATTGACTTCACCCAGGAAAAGCTAGAGGGTCTAAATATCTAAATAAAAGATGGTAAAGTGTAGACACCTTCAAGCGTACAATTTAGTATGGACATAAAAAGTATGAGTTTGAGTGCTTAGGACAGAGGATATGTGTGGGGATTTATTCCTGGTTCCTTGAGGGAGGCATGCATTTATCAGTACTTGACTCCTGGGGCTGGCACCTGTCTGTTGTATTACTGTGAACACTTTACTGTGAACAGTTATATTTTTTGAGTCAAGTAGATATAAAAATCTCCCTCTCTGCTTATTGTCCATAAGCTAGGGAATTTTGTCGCTGCCATCTCATGCTTCTGTTTTTAAATTCCTTCAAGTACACCCAAATCTAATTACAGAAAACAATATACTGCAAACTAGATCTAATTACATGTTCTTCTTAATCTACAAATAGTGTCGAATAGCCCCCAAAGGATATTCCAACACTTGCTTGGAATTGGAGGGTTAGCTAACCATTCACTATGAATATACAAGCAAACTGTAGTTGTTAGCTGCTGATTTCCCCTCTGCCCAAACACTATTGTTATTCTTTTTTTTTTTTTACATAAAATCATGCCAGCAATTGCCAAAAGAATCCTCAAAAATAAGAAGGGTAAACTGCAGCCCACTGCCTACTTCTATAAATAAAGTTTTATTGGCACACAACCACTATGTCCCTGGCTTTCACACTGTAGGAGTTGAGTTGTTGTGACAGAGACCATGTGGTCTCAAAAGCCTAAAATATTATGATTATTATTCAGCCTTTTACAGAAAATGTTGGCCAACCCCTGGTCTAATAACATACTCATATGCTCCCCTTTCTAATTGCAATTTTGGGGGCAATTCTCTTAAATTTTCAGATGTTCTATTTCTTTATAAAATAAGAGCGAACATACTTATGATGTCTGTGTTTCTATGATTATTGAAAGATATACTGTAAAAATGAACAGATGCCCTATCTAGTTTATAAACAGTATATATTACATATTATACCATTGCCCACAAAGTTAAACTTCCAGGAAAAGATATTCCATTGGGCATGTCCTGTAGATACATATTGAGAGAGAAGTATTTTTACCTGACAACTGGAATATATTTCTTCTGATTATTTATTTGCTGCTTCAACTTACTAATTAGACATGATGTCATTTCCTAGGAGCAGACAGGATGAAATCTCCAAGCCTAATAAAAATGTAAAGAATAAAAACAGTCTTGAGATAAGATTTTTTCCTGAAAAAAAGAAAAGAAGCCTATACATCAGTTTTTAAAAATCTCAGACAAAACACGTTTGAATCACCACTAAGAACTTAGAAATCCCAGTCTCTACATAGAGCCAGGCAGTCAGGAGATCCTTAAAAAGTATTTGTGGAATAGATAAAGGAAGGAAGGGAGGGAGGGAGGGAGGGAGGAGAAAGAAGCTTATTGAAAGCGAGTTAGTCTGAGGAGAATGCTCAGTCTAGAGGGTGTGCCGGCCCACTTTTATCCATTCCCCCATCTCCGCTAAGGCCTAAGGAATATGTGTTGCTTCTCCTCAAAGTGCTGTCAACATGAGCCACCAGCACAAGACTCTCCACTCACTCAGTGGAAATTTCCCCAGCACATTTTGAAATATGCTTCTCCTTCAGTCAGTATTTCCCTTTGCTTCACTCCTCACAACCATTTCTCCTTATTTAGAGTGCTTTCCACATGAACTGTGTCCAATGCCCTGTGGTTTGCTTGGCTTTCTATGGAAGACGAGGGGTGGATGAGGCTACTCCCCCACAGCCCCACACCTAATGGTTGCAACTCTGGGACCAGATAAGGTTCCCAACTCGAAATCCGGGGGCCTTTTAGTACATACCACCTTGCTCCATCACTGTGATCACTCCTAGTAGTGGCCTGTATTTAATTTAAAAGGGAGGCCTTCTTTTCTTCTCACTTTTTAAGTACTTCTGGAGGAGTTAATCCCCAGGGTATAGAACTGAGCATAACGTCCCTAAATGGAACCTTCTCCACACCTACCTCTTTTCCAGCCTGGATACCCACTATTACCGCTTTAAGTTGACTAATAAGGGACGTCGGATCCAACAGTTGTTCTGGATGAATGATGATTTCCGTCCCCAGGAGAAGCTGTACAAGAAGGGACAGATTAAGAAGAGACATGCTGGCCGTCATCCCCAGCCCAAGGACTCCCAGGAGCCCAGGGATCTAGGAAGCCCCGTGTTTCAGATCCACCCTGTCCGGATGGAGCTCTACCCAGGCCAGACAATAGATGTGATACTTGAAGGCTATTCTGCTACTCCCAGGGTAAGAGGACAGAACATTCAGAAGCTATTTTTTCTCCTAAATAAACCTTTGCTGTATTGTATCTATTTCTTAGGAGAGTCCCTTGACATTTATCTGAAAAAGGACATGGTTTCTCAAGGATCGTATATAGCACTGAGTTGCTTACCAAGGCAGCATCCACTGCTTTCAAGGTTTAGCTCTGCTCCATTTTCTGCTTGTTTCTATAGCTACCATGAACCTAAACTCAAAGGACCATTTAAAGCA